GTGTGTGTGTGTGTGTGTGTGTGTGTGTGTGTGTGTATGTGTGTCTGTGAGAGAGAGGATTGTACTTCAAGTTAGGCAAGTGGATTCAACCCAAGACCTTGGCAGCTCACTCCTTCTTACTTAGTGATCTACCGCCTTCTTAATTAAGTAAAAAAACACCACGGGGACGTCCACTCAAACAATATTCATTCGAAGAAAACAGGAAGGAGTGTGGGGAGAGAGAGAGCTGAAAAAAAGTCATAACAAAGAAACTGATCTTCTTTCATGGCTGTGTCATCAGGGCGTCTGTTTCTGACTGAAGTGGAAAAAACTCTCTATGCACCACTCCTGTTGGTTTGGGTCCACTTTTGACCACTTGGTGGTGCTATAGTCTCACAGTGAAGTAGGGGCCTTGCCAGTAAAGAGTCCTGAAAAGCCACCAAAATAAAATCCCATAAAAATACCCAGCAATCCCCACCCCTGAAACTTCAGAAAGACTGTGTAAAGAGAAAACTGCACATTTTGTTTCCCTCTTTAGACTGTGATGCTCTCTAGCTGTCAAGGCTGTGATGCTATACAGCAAGAGCTCCTTTTGGCAAACGTGAGTGTGCACACTATGTACAAATAGCACTTGCACATTCAAACAGCCTCATGGCTGAATGCTAAGAGTGGTCACACGGGATGCGGATGTGGGGAATGAAGGAGAGAGATGGAAAGTAGCTTCGTATTCGATGACTGAGGGCCTGGGTGGACAGATGGCACCTGGGTGAGAGGTGACAGCTGCAGGAGGCTCACGGTGTTTGGAGGATTTGAGGACCATCTGACTTCAACAGCATAAAACTGATAGTGAGAGGAGGGTCAACCGTAGTGGTAGCATCAATGATTCATCTCACTGTGATTTTCACAAACGCAATATGGAGCAGGGATCCATACAGGGAGATTCTGCCAGAGGTTTTGTGCCTGTTAAGCCCTTTATTTTAAGTGATGGAGAAGTGCTAGGTGAACACGCACAGGCATGCTACTACTGCGTGGACCTCTGCTGCCTATAAAAATGGACTGTTTGTTGGCAAAGAAAATGAAAAAAGAAAGAAATCCAGAGAATTAAAAAGGTCTGTAACTCAAATCAGCTAGCAACCCTATCAGGTCTAGGCCTCTGTGTCTGTAAGACACTAAAATGGCTGTCATTGCTTGTTGAATGAGCAAGATATTGGCATTTGCAGATGTGAGAGAATGTAAATGCAGAGGGACGGCGAGCAGATGACCCGCACCAGATCCAAAATGAGGTGCAGGTCTGTCTGAGGTGAGTGAGGAGGTGGAGAGGGAGACACCACAGTCCTTGTGTTCAGAGTCGAGTCTGGGCTTCGGGGATGTAGATCTCGATGCTGTCGGCGCTCTCCGTGGCCGAGTTCTGCCTGAAGGAGGCGGTTCTCTTGGTCTGCAGCAGCCTCCTCCTCGCTTCCGTCCTCTGACGATCCCCGAGGTCTAGGGACTTCTCCCTGATGGGCAGGGTGTGACCGCCCACGCGAGGCACCACAAGGCCCCCTGACCCACCTCCGCTGCCCACCTCACCAGCGCTATCGGCTCGGAGGCTGCCGCTCACGCCACCCGCTGGCTTCTTTGGTAAAGGAGGAGGAAGCTTCTTGTCCTCCTTGCCCGTCAACGATGAGACATAGATTTCACATGTGAACAGACAGTGGATTTTTTTGTATCGGGTGGTGAGGAAATGGTTTTGTAAGGAGGTACAATAGGAATCCCATGGCAAAAAGGTGGAGATATTGGGGTAAACAAGGTAAATGAGAAAATAAAGGAAAAAAAACGAGAGGAAGAATCGTGGCACAGGACATTACAACAGAAAGATTAAAGAAAAATACAAAAAAAAGTATCCCATCATGCATTGGCATCAGGTCACATAAAAAGATATGAAATGGGAAAGGAAAAACAAAAATAACGTAAAAACAAAAAGAGGAAAAGGAGAAACAATTGTTAGTTTGTTATCAAGTTTGAAATAATGTAGTTGATCAGTGAGCAGTCTAACCTGACAAGCAGCAATAAATACAAAAATTAAGTTACAGTTAGAATAATTTCTGGCAGTTTAAGACTTTTTAAGACTCCGCTTGGGCCGCTCCACCCAGCTCCGCTCAGTTCCTCTTGCTGTTCTGTATTTTCGCAGCGTGCAAAGGCTCGGAGGGCACGACCATCTGCGCTACTCTTCTGCACATTGCCATCTTAGCTCTGGGGGATTGTTGAAGGGAAACCTGGGCTGTTTGGATCCCCGGACGTCTCACCTTCTTTTCAGGTGGAAGCCTCCAACCAGAGTCCTTCAGCCTCTTGAGGTCCTGAAACCTGACCCTGACGTCCTCTATGTTGAGCTGGAGCAGGTCCCAGAAGCCTGCCAGGTCCTGAGAGGTGGGCTGGGGGTAGGCTGATGGGTCCTGGGTGGGCAGGGGGTCAGGATGTGACATGTGATGGGCAAGAAAGGAATAATATTTCAAACAGAGAACCAGTTTCTTTTGTTTTTGAAGCCAATCTAATTTTTGCCTTTAGCAACATTGAATCTCGGCAAAACCGCGCACCATGTGTAATGTGTGTTGTCATGAGTTTGCATGCAATTGCACACACTCACCACACTTTGTTGGCAGAGGCGGAAGAAATGCTGGACTTTCTGAGACATGAGCATCTGGGCGCTGCCAACTGCATTTCGAATCAGCTCAAGAACTAGGGAGGAAACAGGACATAAGTAGTTTCAGAAATCCCAGAATTATTCATTGTTCGTCTTTAGCTCGAATCTTTTTCGATCTTCCTCCCAAACTCACTCTCCTCGGGCAGCTCGTTCTCCTCCGCCTCTCTCTCCATGTTCTGGCACCAGCCCTCCATCCTCTCCACTTCTGTCTGAAGGAGGCGCAAGAAGAACTCTCCGTCCCTCATGCAGGGTGAGGCTCGGCCCGAGTCAGGCAGGCTGCGGGGGCCCTCCAGGGACGGTGTTCCCGCCCAGGCTCGCTCAGAGGTGATGGGCAGAGGGGAGTGGGAACGTGGGGGCAAGTGCGGGTGCTGGTGCGGCCGCGGGTCTGCTGGGCAGGCCTCGGTGGTGTAGCCACTCTGAATAAAGTCCTTAGGAAACAGAAGAGAAAACTGTTTGGTATTTGGACCTTCAGTGATGTGTTCTGATCAGAAACACAATGTTAGTGACAGAAAGGTGAACTCACTTATTGGGGAGAATATAATCACAGCATGATGTGAGGTCTGATCAAGTGCATCACATCTATCCATTGTGTTGGTGTCATGGATAAACAGTGGTTAACCTTTGGTTTGACTGAAATTAATTTATCTTAAAGGTCAAGTGTGTAAGATTTAGATGAAAAGGATTTATTGGCAGAACTTGAATATAAAATAATCCTATTGATGTTCTCACTGGTGTGTCATTACAAATTGTACCAATTGTGATTTGTTGACCACTAGTGGCACTATAGAGCTGGTTTTAAGCAGGTCCTCCCTTTGTTTATATCTCTTGCACATGTAAGATAGACGATATGACAGTTCCCCAAAAGTGAAGCTAAAGTATCTCGATTACCCCCTGGTGGATGGCTGCAGTATAGTTCATAATCCCTGCCACCTCCGTCGCAGATGGGACATGGACCAAAATAAAAACTCAAAGTACCTGTCAGATACATTTTTCTCGAAGATGGTTTCTGTTTGTTTTTCTAAAAAGTTTGGTTTTACTTCATTTTATGCTTCAAGAACGGAGTGAAATGTCGTGATTGACAGCTGAGACTGACTCACCACTGGTCGAGTGCATGCACCTTGTTACTCTGGCTAAAATGTGCAAGATGGCGGCATTCGTATCCGGGGTTCTTTGGCTTTATTTGTGGTTGGTGGCAGGATGTGGAGACGCATCTTTTTATTCAGTCTCTGCTTAAAACCTTATTCCTGCCAAAAGTTCCAGTGCTTCCACTGATTTACATCACATGTTTACTGTTATCTGATAAAAATCATCTGAGCAATTTAATCTAATCTAATAGACCACACTGTTGTTTTCTTCGTTTCTGTTGATGATCCATTTCAGCAGGAATTCATTAGTGAAAATGATGTTTGATGGTGTTTTACAACACTGTCATCACGGTGCTTCATCTTCATTATGTGATATTTCTCCAGACAGATGTTGTGAAGGGAGTGTTTTGCTGGGTGACAGACCCACATAATGAGCCAACTTCTTTTGAATGAAACACTGTTTTTGATTAACTAGATGTTCTGTGTCATGAATATTCATGAAGGGTATAATGTCATTTTTAAAGCTAGGGTTGGTAATCCTGGAAAAGCTAAAGCACGGGTTGCAGCCCACCCCCTCCCATCAACCCTCTCGTAAAATACATCCCCAAAACAAATGAATCCGCGCTGACAGACACTGTTTTATTTTTATTTTCTTTCAGACTAATGTATTTATTGATGGCTATCAGGACGTGAAGAGGATTTCAACACATAAGATAAAAAAAAGTGTTTGAGAATCAAATAACCAACCATAACCTTTAAGAAGGAGTTTAAGTCTTAAGACTATTTCTCTCTTAGTTATTAGTATTAAAAGAATTGATGCAGGTTCATCATTGAGCTTTAATTTCTTGTTTCTCAAGCTCATGGGGCTGTAGATAACTACTTTCTTTGTCAATGTGACCTTCACCATGAAGGTTATATTGGTTCCATTGTGTATAAATATATTGGAAAAACTTCTCTACAGATGTTTTGCACACCACTGCAGTCCTACCTCTCTGTAGGCCCACTGTCCCTGCGTGTGGACGGTGCGGTGGCACTCTGCGTACTGACTGGCCGACTCGGGCTCCGACGAGTGCCTTTGGAAAGAGCATCCGAACTGAAGACTCTTGTCCTGCGTTGGCACGGCGATGCTGAGCCCCGGGAAGCCCTCAGGGTCCAGGTCGGCCTGCACGCTTGCCGTCACGCTGTTGGAGCGCTTGAAACGAGCCCTCCTGCAACACAGGCCCGCAGCCATCCAGTCACACAGAGTATTGCATGCAAGAGAAATATCTCTCCAATTATTTCTTTTTTTCTTCTTCTAATAATTGCACATTCCTGTTTGAGCCGGGACGGTCCCGCTGTCACTGTAGTCACTTCTATGCACCCGCTTTTTGATAAGTCCTGCTGAATCCTCTGGCATATGACGCAACGCCATGTGCAAATGTCATGTCAGTGGACTCAGTGATGAGTGTTTACAAGTTTATATCCCACCTCCTCTCATCCGTCTTTGCTGCGTGATAAGATGTGACTCAGATTTCTGTCCTCTTTTACTCCCCCCACCAACGTCCCACTGTCATCCTCCATGATTGCAGGAGGTGGGGGACATTGTTAACAGGTGCATGATCACACACTGCTCGAGGTTTTTTCGGGAGCGTGTGAAGCTGCGAATGTTCGCAATCGCAGCCCGTATGTGTGTGTGCATCTGACCCATAAGGATGGTTATAATACCCGCTGGATATAATTAGAAGAAGGGCTGCATCATGTGTGAAAGTCATGTCGAGTGTATGATTTGCAGTAGTCATGGTTACAGTTAGTGATGGCGAAAAAACAAGACATTCTTGGAACAAAGTGTTACCGAGTTCAAGCTGTGATGTCTGATGAAATGTTAAATGAAATAATAGGATCTAGCCAAGAAATCAACCATAGGTGACTGCACTGCAGGGCGCCGGGGAGACAGAGGCTTTTTAAAATTATATGTGGAGATTATTCACATAAATTACAGCACAGAGATCACAAGCTCTTGATGAAACCACATATTTTGAAGGAGGCAAAGATGAATTAGCAAACAAACAAAATGTAGAGCTTAGCTTGTGTTCATAATTAAGGAAAATCTGCTACATTATTATTATTTCCCTCCTTTGAATATAAGTAAACTTCCGTTACCTTTTGTCATCTTCCACCTGGACCCCTATAGAGTGGACCTCTGTCAGAGCTTTTCCCTCTCCCTCTGAATCTGAAAGGGTCTCCGAGCTGTCCACCTGGAACACAAAAAGACACAAAGCACCAAACTCAGACCGAAGAGTTATCTGCTGAAACACATGGCCTAACGATGTCATATACAAGTTTGCTTTAAGAGCTCTATAATTAGGTACATGTGTAAACCCTTCCTTTTTGATAAAGCTTATAGTTAGATCTGGTTCCTGTCTTGGACCAGCTCTTAGTTCTGCTACTATAGGCCTAGATTGTTGGGGGACACATGACACGTGGAGCTTCTTCTTCCTCTTCTCCCTCTTCATCACATACAGTAAACGTCTAATCAATACATGTTACTGACTTGACTTCTTCCCTGAAGTCCAAGTGCTTTCTCATTGCAGATCCAGTATCTCTGCTGCGGCCACATTAAGGAGGCATCTGATCGTGTATTATGATTACAACTAGATTACTTAGATGTACAATATGCCTACTCACATTTACTGCTATTCCTGGCCAACCAGCTATTACATTACAATCTATACACTTCTCCAGTTGTGTTAGAAACTCTCTTTTCTAATGAATGTTGCAAATATTGTTGCTGAGAATTCTACTTTTTCCACCACTGCTAAAAGGTTTCTATTGTTGTAGTTTTTCCTCACTCCAGTCGAGGGTTAAGGGCAGAGGATGTTGCACCTTGTTAAGTTCAATAAGGTAAATCGTGATTTGGGAATCTGGGCAATGATGTGTTATTATACATTTTTAAGCCATGCAAAAGCCTAAATCTGACAGTCACAATGAGAGCAGAACTGCAGTGATCTTACCAGGCAGTTTTCTCCTGAGCTAAGCTAACTGGCTGCTGGCAGTAGCTTCATATTTAACAGGCACACATGAGAGTTGGATTGATCTTCTCTCATCTAACTCCTGGCTAGGGGCGATTCCAGGATTTTTTAAATGAGGTGGCACAGGAGGCGGGGCCCATAGGAAATCAGAATACTCTTTGAGAAATAAATACAGTTAAATATTGCTTAGGATTGCTGGGATGATTGTCAGACATTCTTTGCCACCTGTTTAGACATTTCCCCATATATCAAATTGCTTTAAATGATAATTATGTTTGTGTGTGTGTGTGGGGGGGGGGGGCAGAGCAGTTTCCTTCCAGTCTCCAGCTCTAGTTTCATAGTTAATGCACATAAGCACAGCATCGATCTTCTCATCTGACCAACGGCAATAAAGTGACTTACATTTCTCAGCTATTTCTTTTTATTTCAGCCCTATTTCAGTGCTGGAATGATCAGTCAATGAACAGAAACATTTTATAATTAGTGTTATCAAGCAAATATGGGAAACATTCTCTGGTTTTAGATTTTCGAATCTTACGATTGACTAATATTTTATCACTGCAACTTTCTTTGGATTTGGGATGTTGGACAGAAACAAGCATCTTTGAGTCCTTTACTCACCTGCACAGCTATTGATGGACTCCACTTTCTTCTTCCTTCATCTTGCCCTACAGCTTTACTCAGCACTATGCTGTTCTGAGGCAGAGAGACTGATTTCCCCAGGCTACCCCCAGCCTTGCTCTCCCTCTCTCTGGCCGGCCTCGGTGGCCCTTCCAGTAGGCTGTCAGCTGAGCTGCTGTGTTTGGCTCTCACCCCGACTCCTGGACCCCCTCCATAGGGCACTAGCTCCCGTGAACCCCTGACCCCGTCTAGGCTCTCTGCCGAGTTACTGTGCTGCCTGGAGCGTCCAGTGCCCGTGGCGGTGTAGTAGCCCCCCCTGGAGGAGCGACCAGAGGGTCCGTCAGAGCTGCCCATGTCAACGGAGTTGCTGTGCTGCTTAGGGCGCCCGGAGACCGAGGCCAACTGTCCGCTGCTCTGGAAGTAGGCGTCCTGGGTGGACTCTGTGCTGCTCTGGGCCCTCACCGAGAGTGAAGACTTGGACATGCGAGGTGGGAGTGGGGGAGGAGCACCTTTACGATAAGGAAAGACTGAAGTGTCAGAAGAGAGGGAGAAAGGAAGACAGAGGCATAGTGGGCTGTTAGAAGCAAAATAGGAACTATCTGAACAGGGGGGAGGGGGAGGTGGATACTTACAAAATGGACAGACTGGAAGGAGAGAGTGAAAAGAGGGAAATTTATTGAGGGAAAAGGAGGTGAAACAAAACAGAGAAAGAGAGAAAAACAACAAAACCATTAAGAAATAATGCCAGTGTAACGAAAAGATTTATAAAGGCAGCTCACAATTTCTTTTCACCAAAAAAATCTGCATTGGGTGTAGATTTCAGTGGGAGGCAGAGAGCAAAGTGGAGGAAGAGACAGACATAACAGAGGCAACAAAAGAAAACCTCTTCCCCTGAGCAAACTTAACTCTGCTTCATAGGAATATAAAGCAATTTCCTGAGAGAAATATTAAAATGAGAAGTTCAGATTCTGTCTCTTCCTCCTCACAGCTCCAATCAAACGTATACACACACGCATAAATGCACATGGGCACACACACACACACACACACACTTATACCCTGTTTTTTGACCTCCAGTGTGTGTGCATGCACTTACATGGGTGTATGCAGTGGCGGATAAAGGATTTTTCTAAATCAGGAGCTGTAAAAGGGCCCCAATTTAGGGGCGAGTTATATGTCCAACATCCATTCACATTGTCTGATTCAGTAAGGTGCACATTTAAGTCATTCCTTGTTTACTGTTAGCTCAATATAGCTTTGAGCAATGCCACATATCATTGAATATATGATGTGTTTAAGCACAAAGCGTACAGAGCGTAAATGAAGCTAAGAAATGTTTTATTTAATTCATTGGTAGGATTGTTAGTAAGTGCCTAGATTATTTAAAAAAAGGATATTGACAGGACAGGGGCACTTCAGGGGCCAATCAGATTTTAGCTGGGGCGAGTGCCCCCCTGGCCCTGCGCCTGGATGTGCCCCTGGGTGTATGTGTATTTGAGTTTGTGTACAGTTCATGTGTTTTTTGACACTTCACAGTGGCTTAAATAAATCTCAGAGGGGATTTGCTGGTCTAAGCTGAAAAAAAACCCAGTGAGGCACGGAGTGGCCCTGCAGTCAACTGTAAAAACACACATAAGCAAATACACACGCAGACACACTCACAGATGGAGTGGATATCTGCGATGTCTCAAATCAAGAGTGACGGTGAAGGAGGAGAAGGCGAGGAGGAATGTGAAGGTGCCATGTAGGGAGACAGACGGAAAGACAGAGAGAAAGAAGCAGCTGGAGACACAGAGCTATCATCACAATCATGAGCGTTCCTCCATTACCGAGGTGCAGAAACTTGCCCTCACACAGGGGAGGTTGATGGCAGAGATGAGAGTGAAGAGGTGACAGAGAACAAAGAGCCGGCTCAATCACATCCACACAAGCCCATAGGCTTACAGCATGCCCACATATACATACAGTACAGTCAACACAAAGGGCTGCAGAGGAGGAGAAGAGTGTGAGGTGAAAGACTGCAGAGATTGAAGGAAAAGAGAAGGAAAAAATTAAAATGGATGCACACATTTCATGCAGCTGTGCAATGCCTGGCCTGTATGTGTGTGTGTATAAGTGTGTAAACTTCTGTCGAGGTAAGCAGGCGCAAGCTGTCATACAATTCCTTCTCCCACTGTGTCTCCCACCAGGCTCCCACCACACAGACGGCAACCACACATTTCTCTAACACTAACACTCACACACTGACTGAACCGCACCACACGCTCACACTCACCGGCCCCGCCCTTGATGCTTCCCTGGGGACCTGACATGGAGAAGACGGAGAGGCAGTCGTCGTCCTGGGAACAGCCGGCCTGGATGGCGCGGACGTAGCTGTGGCTGCGGGTGCGGAACACGCCTGGTAGATCCAGGGCCTCCACGGCCTGGGACTCCACCTCCCCGAACATGGTCTCACACACGGCCTCAAACTGACGGTTCAATGTTTCTCCCAGCTGGAGCAGAGGGATGAGTAAAGTCTGTACAGTTAATGAACTCACTGTACGTGACGAGATACAAATGAAGCACATGACTGGTTACCTGTGAGCTGGTCAGAGAGCGGGTGTAACTACGAGAGCGGGTGTGGGTTTTGGGCGTGGTCCGGCTGTTAGGGTAGGAATCTGTGCACTGCTTACACGAGTACCTGGATCAAACATATGACACACAATATTACTACGGCGGTGTGAGATGACACCTGCTCTTATTTCCCACCTAGCTGATATTTTATTCTGGCAGCAAAATAACCAAACGTGTGCTTTGCTATTTTTGTCAAAAACCACAACATCAACCACGAATATCAGATAAAATGTCACTGAGTCATGCTTTCTAGCCAGCGGAATCATTTTGAGTGTTGTATTCCTGTGTTCCCGTGTCAGAGGAGAAAAACTGAAGTGTATCTTACCTAGAATTTGTTTATCTTGTATGAAATCATTCTGAACAGCACAATATCGTTATTTCCATGTTGGATACACAGAAGTGCAGTTATGGAAGAACAAAAAGAAAAACAACAAACCCCACATACTCTGCCAAAGAATTTACTGACAGTGTATGAAGGTGTCCCTTACATGATTTACATTGCAAGAACATGAATTTCTGTGTCTCTGTTTTAATGACGGAACTTTGCTGATGTTATAAAAAGTTTGTTGACCTCTGATCCATGCTGATGGATCGTCGGAAGGCGTCCCTCTGAGCGATCAGGGTGGACTTGGGCGAGGCTTTGGGGCTGGTGTCTGAGTCGGCGCTGTCGTCATCACCCATGGCCTTGATGTAGCTGCCGCTCCGCATGCGGCGGCAAGGGATCTCTCCCCCGGTTTCGCCTGGGTTGCCGCCACCGTAGCTGCCTCCCCAGTCTTCTGAGGGGACCTGAGACACGTTCACATGAAGAGTCATATATTAAAGTGTAAAAATAAAGAAGGAGGATTGATCTGCCATGTTTGGTCCAGTTGATTTAGTAAGATTCTCTGTTAATGGATTAAACACAGAGTTGTTATGAGTTAAAAGTAAGTGCATTCTTTAATTTCTCCGACTGTTAAGGAAAAAGTTATTGAACACAGTGCTAATTAATCAGTGTTGAGATATTGGAGATATTTCCACTGCACTGTCGGCTGTTTCTTCCCAATATCTGTTATTTAAAGTCTTCTCAAAACAGAAATATATTTCGTAAATGAAAAATATTTCACACCTCAAACAGAAGGACAGCAATGACCTCAGATGTACAATCACACGTGCACACAGCGTTGTAAAGATGACTCAAGCATGCTCATGCACACGATGGGAGCAAACACGCACACTTGCACGTACAGTTTATGCATATACATATACATGGCCCGTGGCGTTAGAGAAGAGAGAAATGGACAAAGGGACTTACAGAGAGAGAGAAACTCTGACAGCTGGAGAAACACTGACGCAAAGGAGGAAAAAAAGCGTAAGCCAGAAGGCGACAGACAAGAGAGCAAATAAGCAAATACACGAAAGCGTAGGTAGATGAGCAGACGGCCAGACAGGAGAGGCAGGTGGCGTATAGAGAGAGAGACAGATGAGCAAGGTGACGAAACAAGAAGCAGGGGAGAGGCAGACTTAAACACACAGAGAGCAGGAAGAAGGATGAGCAGACGAGAGGGAGTCTGATGAGAAAACAAAATGAAAACAACACACACACAGGGAAAACAACACATAGAGAACTGATAAAGAGCAATGAACTGAAACCATAATACTGGCTCCTATAGTTTCCACTGTGGTCCTTGAGTAAAATGTGTGAATTCTCATTACTAAGTCATAACGTTAGTGTATTCTTAAAATGATCATCACTATCTGGTTTTGTTGCAGGGAGATTTTCTAAATATCTTAAGATGACACACAGGGAATGAAATTGTACAATATTTTTATGCACATTCATTTGAGGTGACTTTTTCAGAAATGAATCACGAAGACTGTCTGGGATCCAGACTTTCTCTGGAGTTCAACAAAAACTTCATCAACAGGACATCTTCGTCAGTGTCTACTTCCAGTGTGGCTCCACTTTTTCATCCTGAGATATTTGTATTCATTTTGTTGTTTTCATTTTTGCATCTGTCACGTATTAGAGTGACGCATCGTCAACACACCCACTCGCTCACAGTGAATCCTGAGGACGATCACGTGCTATTTTCTTACATGGGCTCATTCAGAGAGAAACTCTCATCACTCAGACATTTGAGTAAGTCACTCGGACATTTGAGGAAGATATGTA